ACCCCCCCCCCCCCCCCCCCAACCCCCCCACACACACACATCCGGAGTACTGAATGACATTTATTAATTAGAGTACTATATACTATTGAACTACTTCTTCTTCATCATATATAATTTTCTCTGGGATTTCTTATTTTTCTTTTTTATTTCACTTGAAGATATGGAGATGAATACAAGCTTGCTGGATTCTCTGCCACTTTGCAGGCCATCATTTCATTTGTGGAGAATGGGTATTTTTCTAATGAATTAAGGAGTTGTTCTTTTTTTCTTATAAGCTTATCTTTTAGCTACCTTGTTACCTGCTACCCCCTGCCTTTTCAGCGAAGTCATAGCGGGATATTGAAGTTTGCCTGATTGGTGTCTTTTTCAGGGGTGATCGAGTCAACTTGGTCAGAGCCGGGAAACACCAGGTCAGTCTCCTTGTCTCAAAATTCTCCATAATGCAATGATGATGGAACTTGTGCTTTCTTGCATTGTCGACACCTCACCTTCATCTATGACATTTCATGCTCGGAAATTTCGAAGTTGCATGGGTTATTGCCTAGTGGTTGTGGATATATATATCAGTTTCAGTTTCATGCTAGTTTTTTTTAAATGCTTGAATATTATTGTTTCGAATTGGCATCAAAAGAAAGAAGGAAGGAAAGAAAAGATATCCAACACTGTTTGGCATTGCAAGTGAGTGGTCACCTAGGAAGAGTTTGTAATATTAGCAATTGAGTTGCAACATTAGGCAACTTAACAGAAAACTTTTCTGCTCAAGTATTTTGTTGAAAGGGTGCTGCCTGATTTGTGTTTTCGTGTTTAACAGACATTTAAGGCTTGTGTTTCAGGTTGTATTTCTTGTGAAAGGACCTATTTACTTGGTTTGCATAAGCTGTACAGAAGAGTCATATCAGTCATTGAGGGTACAACTAGAGCTCCTCTATGGTCAGGTAAGTCGCTTTTTTTCTTTTCTCTTTTTCCTGTTGCTTTATTGTCACAGTTTGCCTTGGCATGTTAATTGACTGCCAATTGTTCTGACATATGGATGCAATTCCTCATATATCACTTGTTATATGAATGCAGATAATACTTATTCTTACGAAGTCTGTGAATAGATGTTTCGAGAAGAACTCTAAATTTGATATGACTCCTTTGCTTGGAGGAACGGACGTTGTCTTCTCTTCTCTAATTCATTCGTTCAGTTGGTTTGTGCTATGCTCTCACTCCCTCCTCTCTCTCTCTCTCTCTCTCTCTCTCTCTCTCTCTCTCTAAATATATATATATATATATATATTTATCTATCTATCTATCTATCTAAATTCATCAATGGATTTCAATCGTTTTAACTTAGCAATTCCCTTTCATGTTGCACAAATGGTGTTCAAATTGAAATTGTCAATCAATAAATTTTGAAGGTGTTTGGCTCTCCACCATTGACAGCCATTAAAAAGCTTTGAAGCTTTGAAATCGAATTTGGGTTTTCAAAAATCATTATTTGTTTCGATTGGGTATTGTTGCAAATAATTGGGAATATAGTTTGGAGTTTATATCTCAAATTTTGAGGGTTTTTTGGTGAAGATTAGACTTGATTTTGGCTGAATTTGTATGAAAGTTAAATAATAGTTGTATAATGTAAGAATCGTTGTATAAAATTTGTATTTAAATTTTCAATACTATCTTTTTACATAAAGTTGTTGATATGTATCAAAATTGTATTAAGAGAGTAAGTTTTGATTGAAATTTTAGAGAGGAAGAAGCACACACTGCAGACAAAATATATACGAATCAGATACAAAATATATACAAAAGACATATTGTATAAAAATTGTATTTAGGTTGTATGATATTGTAGGTATATTCAACTGGGTAGAAATAATGTATGAAAGTTGTAAATAAGTTGTACAATATATAAATAGTTGTATGAAATTTATTTTTACTGTGTATGTTGTTGTAGATATTCAAATTTGCATTAAATTTGTACGAAATTTATTTTTAGTTTGTATGTTGATGTACCATATATTGTTCTTAGAGATAGAGATTTTATGTGCTTAATTTGAATATAAATATGCAATGAAGTTTAGATTCAGTAGAAGTTTTCTTTTAGATTGTGCTGATGAATAATTGTTGATTCCTTGGAAAACATAATTGTTGTGATTTAGTAGTGCAAGTGTTCTGTAAAATGCCAAGCTTAAAGTAATCCAAGATGTCACTCATATTGAACTACCATTGACTGCCATTATTGTACCTCCTTTTTTGGAATTCTTTCTAGTGTATTCTAAGTCTTGTTCACAATAATTCTTATGATGGCATTGATCACGTTCAACTATGTCTTATAAAAAGGATTAAGCGGTCGTTGCAGATATAATCCGGTTTACAAGTCCGGAATCGAATCCCACAGAGAACTAAGGCTTAGCTATAGTTGTTCAATATCGCTAAGAAACACAAGTCCAAACAATTTTTTAATTATAAAGATTATAATATTTATTTTTATCTAATTAATTAACAAATCTAGAAAGCCGTAAAACTATCAATTAACAAGGATAAGGATTGGGGTCAAGATTAAGGAGGTCTAGAGTTATGATTTCCCCAATTGTCGGAATCCTTCCCGCTACGTTTTCTATAAATTCGCCTAAGTATTCTCTACCGATCATGAGCGCTCTGACTGTCGTAACTCTCTCCCGAGTAATTACCACAATTTACTAGACGCACTCTCCCGAGTTACGCTAGCTGGCTTTGTTTATTATAGCTCACTTTAGATTGCACCCAAGGCTTCGTTATCCCTAATCCCGCCTTTAAACCCGCAGTTATAGATCCCTCTTATACTTTGGGAGTGATGTTGTTCAACAACTACCTAAATATGCACTCTCTCCCGAGTTATGCACACTAAATAGGCACGGCTAATTGAGGATCCTGTCAATTAACTACAACAAACACGTAGTTGAACAAATAGAGAAAATACTACGGCTCAATTATATAA